TTCTCCATAAGGTTTAACCAAATTAAATGTGAGTCATAGATGGGGCGAGCATAATACACTAAAGGACAGACATAATGCATTCATCCCAGAGACCCAGTGATGATGTATCTTTGAAAGGAAAGCAAGTGGAGAGTGAATCAATTTCCTCCTAATTAATTAGTCACACAAATATTTACTGCATGCCAACTCTACAACTATTCCACACCATGGGAGCAAGGGCAATAAGGTAACGGGGGATTATATTCCCTCCTCTGAGAAGAACTCACTTAACCCAGGCCCGGTGTCCAGCGGAGGGTAAGTGCCAGGGATGCAGAGGGGACTGTGACCAGTCTCCACTCTCAACGAGTTTGCAGTCCAGTAGAGAAGGCTGAAGGCCAGCAGATAATCACTAACAGGGAGACAAGCGTGGCGGCAGAGCGGCACACGGCACGCGGCATGCGCAGCGGCAGGGAGAAGGCCGGACCCCTTCCCCCTAGCATGCTGCCTCCTGAAAATTCGCCTACAGTTTGCTCTCCTGAGGGAAAGTGGACAGGACAAGTCACACTTAGGAGCATCTCACAGTTCCCAGTTAGATTCTCTTTGATGAGCCAACATGCTATGCTGACCACATAGATTGTCTAATTTAATCCTCACAACTATGCTACGTGGTTTTACGAAGGCCAAGTTGATAGAAAATGGAAGATTCTAGTCCAAGTCAACCATGAGCTAAAGCCTACGCACTCAATCCTTCACTGCAGAGCCTAGAAACCAGAGAGAGAAGTGGGCATCTATTCCAGAGAAAGTCAGAAGTTTGTGACCTACAGAGATAGCACTGAACATTTCTGCAGCTACTACACAGCCCCTGATTTCAAGAGGACCATCCAGCGTGGACCAGGCATGGTTCATGACTGGACACACACAGCCGGTTAGTGTTCAATAACTCAGTACTCAAGGGAGGGCAGAATACAATGTCATGAAGATCGGCAGTAACTCCCAGCCGCTGGTTGTGCCACAGGCTGCTGCAGCCACCTCTGGGGAGAGATCCTGGGCGCTAGCCAGGATATTAATTAAGCCCTAGCCACCAAAGTCCAGGGAACTCCCTGTCAATTAATGGTGAGCTGGGAGCCTGCGTGACCCAAGGCCTATGCAAGGTCATTCCCTTTAGCCAGGCTACTCCCCAGGGCATGTGTGTGCAAAGGTCACGGTGGGCGCCGGGGAAGGAAGAATTGGAATAAACATATGCAATTTTTTAAAGTGAAAATTTTTGTATTTACTAGGCTTCCTAGGTTAGGTCTAGGACACAAGAGTTCTCATATTAGCTTCATTGTTCAAATGATCACTTTCAACTTTTCATTCTTTACATATACCAAACGTAGTGTAAAACCAATAAACATATGGAAAAATGCCCAATCTTAAATAAATTTCATAAGAAACAGGAGGCAATTGTTCTGCTGTGTTATTGGCAATGAGGAGAAAAGATCACCAGGAACTGACCAAATGCAGTGACAAACAGGCTCTGGTGAGAAGGCCTTCTCAGGCAGTAATAGTGGGGTTGCACATAAGAAGAACTTTCTGGAAGGAAAAGTGACAATGTCAACAAAATGTAAAATGTATAAGTACTTCAACCTACTAATTCTTCTAAGAATTTACCGGAAGTAAATAATTAGGCAAGTGCTCCAAGGTTCACCAAAACAATGCTACCTGCAGGATTATTAATAGTACCAAATATTTTAACATCTCTTAAATACCCACAAAAGGATACTATTTAAATAAATCACGGTATGATTAGGCAACAGAGTCCCATGAGCCTACTTAAAAGGATGGTGTGAATCTACAAGCCATAATACAAAACTTTCTCCATACCATTCAGTTTTTTTAAAGGCTTCCCGTGAACCTGCATGTGAATGCAATGCGCATAGAATGCACATGCCACGTGTTGCACAGTGAGAAGCCCAGTGAACTTCACTGAATCATGTATGTACACAGTGGCTCTTTCTGGGTGGTGAGATTTCAGACGATTTTTTTTTCTTCCTTTTTTTGTTTATCTTCATTACTTTAAAAATAGAAAACCGGACTGTTTCTGAAGATCAAAAGAAAACATCTCCAGGGCATGTAAATCTCCTGGAGAAAGAGCAAGGCTAAAACCAGAATAAGGACTGACTTTTGGAAGGAAAATGTGTGTGCGTGGCGTGAGGGTACCCTGAAATCCTGTCTGACCACCTTGAGCAAGAAGTTCTGTCCCAGGCCTGGACTCCAGGGTCAGTCCTTGGGTTCAAATGTCAGCTCTGTCACTTACTAGGTGAGCCACTTGTGGCAAGGTGCTTAACCTCCTAAGCCTCAGTCTTCTTATTTATAGGAAAGAGATGGTGATAGTACCTGCTTCTAGGATGGTCGCCAGGGTTGAAGAATAGCGTGAACGGAAAACACCTCTCACAATGCCTGGCGCATAATCAGTGTTCACTAACCATTCGCTCTTATGGAAACCAGTTTCACACAATTGTAGTCTAAGTGAGTTAACTTTACCAGAATGAAGCACTAATGAACAGTTAGGGAGAAGGAATATGTAGAGGACAATTGGGCAAAAAAATCTACAAAAGCAGACATAAATACCTAGGCTCTGGAGCCCAAGTTGTGGGGCCTCCTGACCAGCTGACAACTCATTTGCATGATCGATGGACCCTTTTCTCTCTCAGGACCTGCCACTCACTGCCCCACTCACTGAGTTAGCTTGTCCCTCTCCTGGTAGCTGGGAGCAGGAAAGGTGAAATTGCCACAGGCATTATCTAGTAATTCCTGGAGAAAGAAAATGACTGAGAAGAACGGCCTAAGCGTCACCCACAAAGTGGGTACCCTGACAAAGCAGAATGAGGAATGTTTGGGGAGTGAAGCACGCAGGCTCAGAGAGCTCAGAGGCGTCAACCTCTGTGATGAGGCTGAGCGCCAGAGACAGAATGTGGACAATGCTATCGCTGTCCTTTTCCACTTTCATCTCTCTGGACCTGCAGGGGCCTTCAAACTCTTTTCTTGAATCACTGATACCATCATCCGTCTGCACTGAGGGCAGATCCCTAGGGGACAAGGTCACAACCTCATGGCTAAGAACCCAGACCCAGGAATTCCGGGCACCTGGGGTCATATCTAGTCCCTCCACTGAGTACTTACTTTCTCTGAGCCTTGGTTTCCCCATTAGTCCAGTAAGAATCCTGACGCCTGACAGGTTTGTTGTAAGGGTGAAATTAGATAACGCAATCTTGAAAAGACAGCAGAGAGTAGAGGTTAAGTGCACAGGGTGTGGGACCCGACTGCTTAAGCTCAGATCCCGACTCTATCACTAGCTGCACATCCTTGGGCATGTTACATAACCTTTCTGGGCCTCAGTTTCTTCATCTGTAAAGTGGAGATAATGATAGTTTCCACATCTACAGAGGAGGGAATGAAGGAATTCCAGCTTGGCAAGTGCTAGAACAGCACCTGGCACATCAGTGAGCACTTGGTAAATGAGTTGTTATGATTAATGCATGTAAAGCCCTCGTCATGGTAGAAATACAAGTTCATTAAATGGCCACTGTTATTGTGACGAGGTGCACTTTGCACAGAGAATTTTGTGCATGTTTACCTCCTGGAAAGCAATGAGAAAATGAAGACACTGAGGAAAACCTTGTCCACGGGTAAAGGTTACGGTCATGGCAGAGAGAATGCACTGTCCTGTTGCCGGGGCAGGATGCCCCGGGACCCCTGTGCCCAGCCTCTCTTTTGCCTCCAAAGGACCTACAATTCAGCCATCCATTCTGTGAACAAGTGCCCCTTAAGCACCGCTGGGAGCCCCAAGGAACACTGGGAGCACCCAAGGGGAGAATAAGACGGCTCTGGCCCTCGATGCCCTGGAGCTCATGGGGTAGTAGGTAGATATGGCCCAAACACACACACACACACACACACACACACACACACACACACACACGTGAGTGTTTAAGGACAGCTGCAGTTGGCATTGTGAAGTGTGTGATGAGAAGGGAAATGGGGGTCCTGACGCAGTCTAGCCCCGGAGGTGCACAGGCGGGAGGGCGGAAAGGCTGGGGTCTCACCCATGAACAGGAGTTGCCTGGGGCCACCTGGGAGCAAAGGAGGAACTGGCAGGCACTTACTGCTAAGGTCCTGCAGCCACTTGGCAACTAGCTCCCCAGGCAGGGGAACAGGCAGAGGGAGAGTGGGGTGGACTTGTTCAGAGACCGCCCCCCGCCCCTCAGAAACGCTCGGCTGGGTGGTTGGAATTTGGAGAGAAACCGAGGTCCTCGGGAACAGTGTTCTCAGTTGCGACTGTTGTCTCTTCCCTTTCAGACTCTCCTTACCTGCTGGCAAAGGCAGCCAAGTCTCAGACCCCGATCCCCGGGGCCAAGGGTCAGCCATTCTCCGCTTGGATTCCCAGAGGCTACAGCCATGGATCACTTTGCCTACATGTGAACTTGAGCCACGAGTAAACCACGACAGGGACTCTGCCATCTGCAGGCCTTCCAATGCCTCCAGCCTGTCCTGGTCACACCCCGCTGGGTTCTGTGAGGCTATTTAGGGAGATGAGTTTCCTTCACTAAAGAAAAGGGGCAGAGCATGAAAGCAAACAATGGCCCTGAGGGAGCGATCTGTGATTGACAGAAATGGGGACCGTTCCCTTAGGAACATCACGCATCCTCAAAGAAGCCAAGCCCCAGGTCATTGATTTCTTTGCCTGTTTACATGCCATGGAAAGAATATGTGTTTAAGTTTCCTGTAGTTTTACATGGGAAATTGATGCTCCGGGAAAGGAAGCCGTCTGTTCCAGACGTGGCAGGTTTCTTTAGGAATTCACACACTGAGAGTCTGGCACTATCCCCTAAATGGTACTTTTGTTGTCTTTTTGTTTAAGGTAGCAGGCTTTTCCCAGGATCAGAGCCGCCTGCCAGCCTCTCTTGATAAACAGCCCACCAGCTCTCTTGGTAGATTGGATGTTTAATAATTAGCCTAACTCATTGTTTATCACAGTGGCAATTATCACTGCAATGAAATAATATTTTAACTGCAGGGGAGGCATTACAGATAGCTCCCAAGTAGACTTGCCGGCTGGGAATGGCCCACACAGCTCCCTGTACTCAGAGGAAAGGGCCACTCCATCTCGGCTGGCAGGTCTTGGTGTCTGAGATGCCATTGTCAGATGCTGCTCCAAAGACCTAAGGACATGTGCCCAGGAGAAGTGTATGGTCCCAACCCTTTCCACTGAGGCTCAATGGCCCAGCAAAATATGAAAGTGCGGCCTGTGCTCCTGAAGCGGAACAGCCTGGAGTCAGTGGAGTTGGTGAAGCAGCCACACCACCGCAGGAGCAAGTCTCAGCAGGTGCGGTTCAAAGACGATGGGACAAGCAAAGTGCCGCCTGGCCTCCCCGAGGCGGAGGTCCATGCTCCTGAAGACCCAGTGGTGACAGGCAAGACTCAAGCACCTCGACACCATCACCTCCCCACCTACTCGCTCTCCTTCCCCAGGTCCCAGAAGGCAGGGGGCTTTCGGAACATCGCGATCCAAACTTCCCCTAGTCTCAGGAAGCATTTCCCAATTTTCAAAAGGAAGAGACTCACAGCCAGTAAGTCCCTGGTGGAAATGCCAACAGCACCCCAAAGTGCCATCCAGGTCAATGGCAACCTCTCTGAGCAGGACATTGTGTCTTCTGAACTTGCCTACTTAAGGCTGGCTCAGCATCTTGAGGATGGGCCTCGAAGGGTCAAGGCATCCCACCCATTTCTCCCTAGAACGGCCAAGGTGCAAAGCAATGGGCCTGTTAGCATATGCTTGGAAGCAGGGCCTTGGAGAGCCTCAGAGAAAGCGACAGCTGCCATTCAAGTCCCCGATGATATTTATCACAGTCCTCCCTGGGCGGCAAGGGAGCCCGCTTTCAACCAAGACGGGTCTGCAGGGTTGAGCAACCCCACCCACCCTTCAGTTGACCTGTGTCCAGGCGATGGGAGAAGAGCGCTGCCATCCGACTCAGAAAGATCCTCCTGCTGCTTAAACGCCACCAGCGGTGCCAACCACACGCCAGGCACGGGGAAACTTAAACCCGAATTGCTTTTGCCCAAAGACAACTCCAGTGACAAAGACTTTGGCCCACTATCATCTCTGTCAAAGGACACATGGGTTCCCTCACCTCCACGGACTCACAGTTCCCTGTCACCAGGCTCCCACGGCCAGCCGGCCCACCCCGGAGGGGCATCAGACTGTTCTCCATCGAGCAACCACCACCAGGAGCTGCCATCACTCAAACCGAACGATGCATCAAAATCTGCCCCTGCGCATCAGGAGCAGGCCGAGAAGGCCCCCGCCCCGCCAGACGCCCCGGCGCCTCACAGTTGTCCCGGAAATGGCCAGCCCCCATCCTCTCTTCCAAGGAGGGAGACCAAACTTCAGGGCAGCAGGGACGTTGGGGGGATTAATCAAATCCACCTGGCACGGGGCGAACTCTGCGACCTCCAAGGCAGGCTGCAATCTGTGGAGGAATCTCTGCACTCGAACCAAGAGAAAATTAAAGTCCTTTTGAATGTAATTCAAGACTTGGAGAAAGCACGGGCTCTCACAGAAGGGTAAGGTGAATTTTTTTAATATTAAAAATGACTGTGTTAAGTCATTTGACAGGAGAGGAGCAGAGAGAGAGAGAGAGCATTGGTTTCCACGAGTAAAACGTCCCCCAAATGTTGAGTTTCTGTTGTTTCCCCCAATCATAAGCAATGTCCTGCCTTTATTCCGACCTGGTTCCATTTGGTCCTAGGCTTTGGTGGATTTCCATGGCTATTTGTTTTTGTTTCCAAATATCAACAGACTGGAGATAGGGGACAATGAAGCAGTGGGGTCAGAAATGATTATAAGACGGGGGTCCAGTTGATAAATGATGGGGGAGATGATAGCAAACAGGTACCACACCATCCTCGAAGCAAGTCGCTGCTTTTGCACAGTAGTTTAGTCATCTGTGTTTGTCTCGAGGGGGCCACCATGCTTACTGCTGACCTTGCCCTCCACTGACTGCTTTCATGGCGTGGGCCAGTCTATCACTGACCAACTCAGTAGGAACTGAAATGAGATCACAATTCTGCCAAGAAAAAAATTCACGGAATGCTTTCCTGGGTGACTCAGCACCAGCCTGGGTAGGAAAAGGCAGCTATTTATTTAGGTGTGGAGTGCTTGTCCCTGGGAAATGTGCTCCCAAAAGCCTGAGAGGGAGGGATGATGAAAGCTCATTAACAAAAGGGTGGGAGAGGGAAGAGGAAATTAACTGACATTTGCTGATATGAATCAGCATCAGCACTGCCTTACAAGGAGGCAGCACCAGGGAGTGGGGGGGCGGGGAGGGGAGAACAGAGAGAAATGCACTGAACTGAGGGGTCAGGAGTTTAACCACCTCCCTTCCATTCATTTGCAAAGTCCCTCAGTTTCCCCTCTCTCCAAGGGGTAAGAATAGCTGACTCATCTCCCAGCTATTGCATGAAAAAACCCTCAGGTTTGAAAGCCCTCTAGAAACAGGAGGTCCTATTCTAATGGGTTTCTTGTTTAGTTGTCATGAGCATTTATCCATGAAAAGCCAAGCTTCAGAGCATGGCTCCCGGTAAGGGGGCAATGCCCCACTGCACGGAGGAGCTGGTAGGATGCATGCACCCCACGGGGCTTTTGCCCATAGCTTCATCCAGCAAACTCTCTGTCTTGCAGGCGCAACTTTTATCGAACGGGCCAAGACCTCAACAACTGCAGTACCTGTCAGAACACAGCGTGCATCATATACAGGTACCTGGGTCTGTGGAGCACAGAAGCTGCGGGTCCACAGGACACTTGCGTGCACTCTCTTAAGATGCAGAAAGTCAAGAGAGAGGCAAAGACAGAAGGCCTTTCAATACCCGCGACTTAAACGTCCAGGTGTTGAACTGTGAAATGTTAACGCTTGGTTCTAAGGCAGGCATGGCTTTGTTTTCTTACAATAAGGTCTATGAGCAAATCCTTTGGATAATGATCCCTACACGTACTGAACACCAAGTGCAGGCACCTTATAAAGCTCTATGTGCACATTTGCATCTCATTTCAAAATTATTCCTTATGAGGTGGGTGTGGCTGTCTTCAGGGAAATCCAGCCATGTGGCCCAGGCCACATACAGCATTTTCAGAGAAGGGACCCAGCTCAAGACTTAAGTCCAGGCCTTTCTGACCCCAAACCCCGAGATGTTGATTATTCCACCACAGTGCCTCTTTCTCAATGGTAGCTATCACATGCCAAGCACTAACAAGGTGTCAAGAAACATGCTAAGCAGTCTGCATTCCTTCCTAAGTGCATCACTTCCTTCCAGTTTGGGGCAAGGTTGCTGCAATAAAGTAGATTTTTATAAGTAATAGAAGAAAAACATTATGTTGTAGCGAGAGCACCAAACCTGGAGTCAAAATCCCCGAGTCGGATGTCTGCTAAGACGTCTGGGGCTCAGTTTCCTCATCTATAGAGTGGAAACAGTTATCCCTACACAGAGTTGCCACAAGGAGCAAGTGAGGTAATATAAGTAGCTGCCTTTGTAACTGCAAAGCTCTGTACAAATCCAAGGGCTTATTACTGTTATTACTAGAGAGATCAATGCCCCCGTAGCTGGAAGCCCATTTCAGCAGCACGGTGGAAATGCAGGTCAAAAGCAGTCATTTTGGTTGATGGCATCTAATTTTGACAAAAGTGTAGGGTTTTGCTTTCTCTGTTACGCTTCTCTCTGAGATGGAGAGGGTAGCCTGATGGGGTTGTCTGCGCTTTCTTTAAAATTCGTCTTCTCTCCTTAGCAGAATCCCGAGACTTCAGCACGGTAAGGGTAGGGGCGCCTGGAGGTTAGAAGGCTCCTACATTTAGGCAGGGCCTGGGGCATTGTTTCATTGAAATGTCAATTCCTTACACCTAGCAGCCACGGAACTACACATTTTCACCAAATGGCAGAAACTTCAGGGCTGAGCACAGAAAATGTCCTTTAACTCAGTGTAAAATTAAAAAAAAAAATCCCCTCAAAAAAAAAAAAAAGAACCCTGGAAAAGCTTGTGACATTGGAAAGTATAAGTAGCTAGTCCAGTCTCATCAATTGCTACATTTTTGCCCCCCCCTTTTTTTCACATCTCCTTTCTTAAGCAAATTCCCTAGGCTCTAGGAGGACAAAAATTATTAAATGTCTAGACAGCTAAAGAGAACAAAAAAACTATTCATTATAAACAATAATTATTTTTAACTACTCCCCATTTAAATTTTGGATAGTCCCTCTTCATAATCAGCCAGAGGATGTATTTTTCCATTACCTTACAGTGACTTTTTATTTAACTTATGTAAATGAAGAGGACAAATGCTTATTTCCCAGGCCACTGTGGGTGTCACGGCCTGGCCTTGGGCAAATCACTTCTGGCCTCTGAGTTTCCTCATCTGAAAAATGAGGGCCTTTAATTAGATGGTCCCTCTGGTCCCTTTCAGTCCTGACATCCTAGTGTTCTGTGCTGAATTAAAAGTGGCAATATTTGGCTAAACTGTGACTTTCCCACCGGTCTGAGACTGTTTGCATCTTCCTAGTGGCTACTTCAAACATCCCAAGCAAACGTTTGAAATTAATTTACACCCCTGGAAGGGTTCATAAAGCTTCTTGCACACATCCCTTTCCAGTTTCCCAAGAGGGACAGCCGTTGTACACATCCACTCCTCATTACCATTCAAAGCCAGACTGCTCTTCCAGACAGTATCTATATCCTTGTATCTAAGCCATTGCGAAGGAACAGGCAATTAATTTGATGAAAGCAAAGAGATCAGAAAAACATCTCCACCATAGTAACAGTGGGAAGATGAGAGTTGTCCCTCTTTTTTTTTTTTTTTTTTTTTAACATTTCATGTGACTTCAAACCCGGTGTTGTATCTTAGAAAGTCAGATCCTACAAGCTAATGAATAAGCGATGCGAGATCCTCCTCCGTGGGCCTTGCCGAGCAGCGGCCCCTCTCCGTGATGATGGATGGGTCCGGCGCACGTCACTGTGCATAAGGCACGTGGGCACGTGAAGAACTGCCTCCTGGCTCTTCTTCTCTGCAGATGTTGCTACTAAGTTAACAACACGTAAGCTTTTCTGAGTGGCCCCATTGGCCGCAGGCTACAGCTAATGCTACTTACTTCCATCAAGACATGCGGGGTCATCAGTTCTGCCCAGTTCACGCTCTCTGCTCCCTGCCCGCCCCCACCCTGCTCTCCTTGGCTTCCTTCCTACCACAGGCCACTTCCATAGATCCCATCTGACCAAGAAGCATGGCCCCACACAGAAGCCTAAGGACTCCATGCACGGCCCTCAGGGGCTCCCTGGAGACCTCTTACATGGAGGCAAATGGACTCCTTTGAGTTTTGACAGGCTCTTGGGGAAGAGGATAGACACTGGTTCTACGCCTCAAGCTGGTTCCAGGCTGTTTAGTTCCCGGTCACGCTCCCCACTGATCCTTAGCACTGATTCTAGGACAAGTTTCTCAAAGGGTTGGGTAAGAGCCACATATGGTGCCCAAGATTAAATAATATTGAATTACTGAGTGAGAAGGCTGTTCTCTTTCCAAAGTTATTTCAGTCCTTGTGATTACCTAGAGGGGAAAATTGGAGGTTGGTGCCAGAAAGTCTTCAAAACTTTTTGAAGACCTATCTTCTTTGCCAAGAGAGAGCGGGTCTCAGATTCATAGCCGCAGGCAAGCAACAGCATCTAGCCAGATTGTAATCACTTTAAATTATTTTTATTGAAGCTTTTAATTTTTAAAACAAGTCTCCCTAAATATTCATTGTAAGTTGGGCAGATCTCTATTTTCAAAAACAGCGTTGCCTGTTTTATAAAAATCATTTGCACAAATGTTTTTAAGCTTAAAAAGAAAGTTGACTCAGAGAGGAACGACATTAAGTAAATAACTGGTGTGGGGAGTTTCACAGGAGCCATGAACTTCAGCACGGACACTGAAGTCTGAGAAGTGACGCCCTGAGGAATCGGCTCCCTCTGCTCTTCTTCCTAAGCCCCGGCCTCCCTCCGTCCCCCACTGCAGCCTCCGTTCCTCCAGCCACTTCTCCCCGCCCTTCATCTCTACAAATCACTGCCGAGCCTCTCTGGAGGACTTTGACTCCACCAATCTCCGGGGGGGAGAAATCTGCTTGGTTTAAGTTGAAAAAGGCATCAAATGTTTTAAGGGAAGAGAATAGGAAGTCTTTCTCAGAAAAAATTTCCATCTACCACCCGAGCATGTTGCTTAGGAAATGGAAATAAAGAGCATGGTGCGAACTTCGCGTTTTTAATGGGTGAAGGGAGAGGTTGACCATGTGAGATTTGAAAGGTGCTAGAGAGGATGGAGACAGAAAGGCTGTTGTTGGTCTGGGGGTCCACTTGGACAGGCTGTCTCCTCTTCTCATCCTTAGCCTCTTTTCATGGTTTCAGCTGTACTCATGGATTTGAACTTCTGTCTTATCACACTCTGGTTTTCCCTACCTCTTTCATTAGCACACTCTCTCCCTCACTTTCTCCTAACTACAGGGATATGTAAACTAGATATTTCCACCTTAATATCTCAAAGGCCTCTCAGATGCACCAGTTTTGATTTTCAGAACTTATCACAAGCAGTCTCTCCAGAACACAGGCCAAAGCCTTGCCGCTGTGTGCCCTGCAGGAGAGAAGCCAGGCCGTCCTTGTTCCAAAGAGCTGCTGGGGTCACCTGGGGTCACACGGTTGGTGGTGCGGGAGGCTTCCTAGAGTTTTCTTTCTATGGTTAAGCTTTTTGGACACTGGGTCTTGGCCTCACCTGCTACTTAAAGCTATTGGCTAAACGGAGAATAAGCTTATTCCATTAGAAATGTAATGTGCACTCGGGCCTATGGGTTTAGCAACCACCATTCTGCCTAAATTATTTAGTATTTTCTTCCGGTCTGCTTAGGATGCTCTCCCAGCATGGAGCCAGGTGAGCTGGGGGAGGCATGGTTTTCTCTGTGGCCAACCCTGAAGTCTGCAGGGAAAAATACCGACATGGCACACAGCGTCCCTGCTCTTTCTAGCAGTCACAGGCCTATTTGCAGCTCTTGCCACATTTTAGCACAGACTGGGCAGTGCTCGTTTCAATTGTTGGGCCATGAATGTTACAGAAATACCCACCAGCCTCCCCAAAACAACCGCCTCCAAACAGAGCCCAAGCTGCCTCTTTAGGAAAAAGGCATAAAGTTTGGGGTACGTGTGGCAATGTCTCTGGGCCCTGAAAGGTTGATCCCCAAGACATTTGCCTCTAGTCCCTGTTTCTCTCAGGAGTGCGCTATCCCTTTCTTCTTCTCCCCAGAGTGTAAGAGGAAAGGAGGAGGATTTACAGCATCAGCAATTTATCGGCAATAAAAATGAAACCTATTTTAATGCATTAATAGCTAAAGAGGCGGAAACATGCCATAAATATAAAATCAAGCAAGCTGAGAACTTCCCAGGAATAACAAGTGGGTGGCTGCTGGCACAGACGCTACAGCTGACCACAGAATGACCCAATCTTTATTTCTCTATCAAGTTAATGTAACAATCATTACCATTTGTTGTCCCAGGCACTGTGCCAGGCATTTTTGCTAACGCTGTATATGCAGCATCTCATCTCAGACTCCCAACAACTCGAACATATGAGTATGGTTATTATTCCCATTTTACAGATGAGGAAACTGAGGCTCAGAGAGGTTACGTGACTTGCCCAAGATCCAACAGAGCCAGGGCTTAACAGGTCCTGCTGCCACGGGATTTTCCTGTCCCTCCCC